GAGCAGGAATAGTGCTACGGCCAGCGAGGCTCCCCAGAAGCTGGGCCGCTGGCTGTTGACCGCTGCTGTTACTAAGGCCCCTGCAAGCTCCGGCCAGGGCCAGGCTCTCGCCCGGCTCAGCACAAGGCAACACTACACAGTGCCAGGGTCTGCCAGGGCAGGCCGCAAAACGGTGGATCTAGAAGGATTTTAAATGCACAAAATTGGTTGATTTTGATGCAATTAAGTTGCTACAGCAGGTATAGCAGTTTGGACGGTGTCTCTTAAAGACACTAATTTTAACAGAGCTGATTATATATATATGTGTGTGTGTGTGTGTATTTTATATATATATATATAAACATATGTACTTCTTTCCTATACTTTCAGCAAATTATCAATATCCACACTCAACGTCTGAGCCAATAAAGATTATAAGAAATAGTTTTTCATCCATTCAAGGACAATGAACCTACTTTCCATCTCCTGATTTAATTATATTTAATTATTTTAATTATATTACTTCCCCGCTTCATACTTGTAAAGAGATGCAAGCTGGAGACACCACTACCAATTCTAACAATTTTGTCATGATTCCTATATTTGGTGTTTTTTTTTTTTAAAAAAGGGGATGTTTCTAGTTTATTAGTGGGTGAGGAAGCCCTTGAAAATGCGAAGTGTGGGGTTTCAGAAATACCAGAGGCAGACAGGAAAAATAACTCACTTTTTTTTTTTAAATTTTAAATAACTTCATGTTTCTGAACATCTCATTTACAATTTTTGAAAAGTTAGATTTAATAATTCTTCTCATGACTTCAAAATTAGTAGTAACCATACTTTTTTTTTTTTTTTTTTTTTTTTTTAATAGAGTCATAGGTAGTTCTAAATGTCACCCAACAACCTAGGACCAATCTTTCTTTCCCCGTTCAAAGGCAGGCAGACCTTGATCTGCAGTGGATGGGCCATGAGACTCAGGTAGGCATTTCTTTCCAATATATTCTTTTCTCTTCTGTGAAGGCACTTTATGCAGGCACTCACAAGGGAAAACATTCTTTTTAAAGCACAATAATTGTAAACCCACAAAAATTGGCAGAAAAACTCAAAGGAGGCGTTGTACCAGAAACTTATTTTCTATAAACTAAATATAAAATTCACTCTATCAACTTGAAATTCTCACTTTCTGTTAAATTTCATAAAATTATTATAAGCTGGGAGTTGGGCAAGTTCCACAATTAACCATCAACTACCACAAGCTGCATCTGAAAATAAATCCCCATCTACGCTCTGTAAGAGATAACAGAAGCAAGAAGCTGAGATGTGTTCATGAATCATGTTTTGAGTTTTCCAAAACCATAAATTAGCAGAACACAGTGACCCAACAACTATTTTTAGGGCTGTGTATTTAAAAAGTAATTTACTTTTAGATGTTATTAGCTGTGCTTTTAATTTCAAGCTACAATTACACAAAGTTTTAGTTACTAAATGTTAAGATACATTTTAGCATAAGGTTTATGATTAGCATTTGTAATTTGAGCTATAAACAATCTAACTAATTACATTTATTGGTGGAACTTTACTTCCCACACATGTTCAATCACTTTCAATTATTCCCCTAGTCATCTATGACCCCGGAAGGTGCAGAAATTGTGCGCCCACATTGCAGCAAAAGGATAACTTCTTCTGTGCATTCGGTTCAGTTCTGTGTTTTTCTGTTTTTCTTAGTATCTCCCAACTACAGGCATGCAAAAATGCCACCAGGCACAAAAGCTGCAGGCACCAATAAAAATGCTAGATGCTGGGGCATAAACGTGGCTACCATTTTCAAGTATAAGTGGCTTTTTTAATAAGGGTCTTCCAAATCACAGCCTGATACTTCTGGTTTCCAGGCTCGGCCCAAATTCCAAACCAAGTGGAGGTTTGGCCACCAATGGTCTGTTAGGACTAAGTATAAATGCTCCTCCGACTTCACAAGGTGTGGTTATAACTACTACCTCACCACTCTGAGTTTTCTACCACAATGTATGTCCACGTGCACGCCGGTATAGGATTTTGGAAACCTGAAGATCAGAGCAGAGCTGCTTCTCCTGTGCCAGCTCCTTTAAAAAGTGCCAGCAAGGGAGCACCTGGACATATTGTGTCTTCGTAAGGCTCAAGGCTTCCCACCGCTGCTCAAGGGACAGCAATGAGCTCTGCAAAGCTCATGGCCCGAGATCCTGCTAACCACCATGAACCAGCCCTTGTTTAATATCCCCTTTCTCTGCCCAACATTAAAGTTGGCAGTTTTCAGTTATTTGAAGGGGGTTTTGCCCCACGAAGAAGTGACGAACTAGAGATCTCTGGTGATTAGGTGGTTGCAAACTGCCAAGGCAGAACTAGCAGCACTGAATGCACAAAGACAATTTAAAAGATGTTTGATGAAAACTCATGCGTTTTCAGGTGGGGTTTTTTTTTTGACTTTTTTGCTTTTTTCCCCTCCTTTATTTCCCCTGCAGCCACAATCAAAGGCAAAAGGCCCAGGCAGAACCCCACTCTCCAAATTAAAGCCATATGCTTCCCACTGCTCTCCTGGAAGAGGAATGGGTTCAGAATGAACAGCTGTGCAAGGGGGCTCTGTAACTCTTGTGAGGTATATTTTTATGAATCAGTTGACCCAAAATTCTTGTGTAGCAAGTGTAGAGGTGGTATAGTTGCTATATCAACCTCAAGATCTCCCCCACATAAAACATGAGAGAAAGTGATTGAATATGTACTTGTTGTAAGACAGTAATTGCCCATCAGATGCTATATTTATTTTTTCAAGCTCTTTGCAATTGCTAACTGCCATATGGATACAGAGCTTAAGAGAAAGGAGATTATAACAAAATAAAATCTTTGAAATTAATACCAGGATACAACAGCTCAAGATGCATTTCAATTGTATCTTCCCTCTGCTTCAGTGTAAATCTTATTTTCTTAACTGCTTTTGGTGGAACTCCAATATCAAACTACCTCTACCAAAAACAGGTGTTAACAATATCCTTTGATTTAAAAAAAACCCCAAACAATCAGGATACATTAGATATATTTCTCAGGTCTGGTTTTGCTTGACAGATATGTGATGTGCCAATGGTTATATATTATATTCTTCCTCTCATGCATGCATCTCCTGCAGAGATAGCAGACTACAGAAGCTGACCCTTACTGAGACCATCTTGTCTCTCTGACAAAGCTCCTTTTTAACTTCTTACTTACTGCTTACTTCCTGTGATGGATAAAAACTTTAGCTCAGCTTGTGATAATTTCACAGGCCCTGAGCACCCTGACCCTAGAAGCCCCAAGGTCAGAAGTCAAGTCTTGTTCTGAAACATCTGTGTGCTTCATATTAAAGTAGAACAAAAGTGAAGAAATATCCACCAGTGTGACAAGAGAAACAAGCAAAATGGGAATGACACATTGGTCATCTGTTACCCATGCCATCTCAAGCCATTGAGGGGAATGCCATGGAAAACCTCTGTGCACTAACTCCCCAAACCTCTTTCAAATAGGCACTTTGTTTAGGAAAAAGTGAGAAAGGGCTCGAGGCTCATTTTGTACTTCCTGCCTTCTTATGTTAAGTTTATATATTTGCAGGTGTCCTGTGACCCAAACAATATGGCTTTACAAAGCCTACCAAAATTTCCCTAACCTTTCAGTTTCAAAAAATAGGACACTCCAGAATAACTTCAGTTGAAACATGGAGCAGCTGAAAATCCTTGCTTGGGAAAGAGAAGAACAGATATTACCCACACGCTACTGCACCAAAGGAACAACAGTCACGTGTAATGCAACCAGTTTAGAAAGTTGTTTGTTGCCTGAATTTCTGCTTATACCAAGTTATTTATTGTCACAAATTTGGTCTCTTAATAATTTAGTGTGGAGGCTATTTAATGACCAGATACGAAACTACCGGAGGAAAATAGCCAGCTAAACCACTTTCAAGTTTCTAAGTCTGTACATGCGATACATATTCTAATGGCCTAAATATCTACAAAATAGAAATACTTTAAAAACAAAACATAAAAACTCTTAAAATCTTAACATAGTGCTGCACAGCTCTGGATTTTTCTTGTCTAAGTGGCACAGGAAGAGAAACAAAATTCTCATTCAAGTTTTTTTCTTAAGAAAGGCAGTCATCTTTCCTTTTAGCAGTAACCACTTTTACAGTTTTTTAGTCTAATGTAGTATTTTATAGAGAAAAGTTGTAAATATATGCCTGCTGATTCTTGTGTCTATAACATGATGTCGTTAGTCCTTAAATTTATGTTTCCACAAGAAGTGGAACTTTTGGAAGTTTCTTCAATAAAGCATGTCCTGATTACACCAGCATTTTAGAATTAAATGAGAAGACCACAGTGTGTTCTACGAGACAAGCTGCATATATTGAGCATTAAGAGGCAACTTCTTTGCATTCCAGATATGGGGAATATCTTTGCCTCCTAGAGTACAGTCAGAAAGGCTGACTAACATCTTCCTCAGCAGTAGCATAGTTTTACAGGCAACCATAATTCTCCTAAACTTACATCACAGTAGGTTTTACCCAGCACCTACTAAATTGAAAAATGCCTTTCCAGCAACTTCGTAGGCCTCTGCTGAAAAGCTGCTTTCCCACGCATTTCCCCTCATGCTAAATTCCAATATACATACACAAATTTGCTTAGCATTAAAATTATTCTTACTTTGCTCAAACTTAACCTCCAGTCTCTATAAGCACAGGGCAGAAGCCCAGAGAGAACTACCTTTAGGTGAATAGCCTAGAACAAGAAGCTCCAATGAGCTTTTTTCCGCACCATTTTTTTTTTCAGGTTAGCGTACGTTTAGAGCCTTATCATCTAAATCAGTAAAAGAGAAAAAAAACAATGTAAAGAAATCCTCCCATAGCTCTGTCTATGTGACCACTGGTCAAAGTTGTTCCTAACTTGCTGTTTGAAGAAGGTGATCACAAAAGAATTTTGAAAATCTGCAAAAGACTTTAGGAAAGAAGGCAATGGAGAAGTCACACTTACCAACTCTACGAATGCAAGTCCACCATAACTGTGAGCAACAAAAAACACGTTCTCTGCTGCTGACTGGGAAATAAAATGGTCCCACACATAAATTGCATGTTCTTCAGGAGATCCATTATCCTGCAGAAAAATTTACATTTGTGACACGTTTTCTTTTTAAAACCGGCAGTTCTATCTGAAGGTAATGTGCTCCTGTATGTTTACATGTTTTTAAAACAAACTTCAAATTAATTTTCTCCAGTGTCAAAAAACGAATAGATTCTTTTCTCTAAATAAAAGAAAGGGCAGTAAAACTATTGTGTTCCTGGTACTTATTTTAATAAATACAACAAAAATTATGCACCTGCAAAGTTTTGTCTAAATACCATGTTGGCAATTCAGCCTAGCAGAGGCATTCAAAAAAAAATTATAAGGCACTACTCTGGTTTTCCTCTTTTCAACAATTCTTTGTCAAGTATTTGTTTACTGATCATTTGTTTAAAGTAGCTGGGCTTTGTATGATAACAGGATAGAAGCGAACACGAACGCAATTCCAAACTCCTGACTTTTTTTTGGGCATATTCTACCTGTGCTCATATGCTGCAATGCATCAATGGAATATTGTCTAATGCGACTATGCCAAAGGTTAGAATTCCGTACGTTGGAATTCCTTTTTGAAGTATTCCTTACTGCTAGCTTGTGACTGTAGATTATAAGATAAAGCATAGACTAAACTCCTCTTGATTGCTTGCATATTAGCCATTACTTTGGAGTCCTGGAGTTTGGGCAACGCTACTTTTCATTAGCAAACAGGAATTTGGGAACCCAAGTCAATTGAGAAGAGCCCCTGGACTGATTTACGTTGATTTTAGTGCAGTCTCAAACATCTGAATCGCACGCTCCCATCTCTGCCATTAATTCCCTTGGCAACTATGAGACAGCCCCATTTCCCCCTGCATTTCACTCGTTTCTCAGACTTTCTACGCTCTAACTCCAAATGTGCCAAGTCTCAGATGACAAGAATAAGATGCTCTTTCGCTCCTGTGCCCCAGCGTGACACCGAGATTTCACACCTGCGTAACACAACACTGCAGCTCTTTCCAGCCCCAGAGCTCTCGTGCCAGGAAGAGTTTCTGAGGGAATGAAGTCCCAGGATTTGCATCCCCTTCCCCTCCGCTCTACCCACTAACTTGGTGTGCCTTGATGACAGCGACTCAGACAAGAGAAGCCGCATTTCCTGGGTGAGAAGTGAGTACATACCCGCCAGAGCGACCAACAACCAAAACAGGATAATTACACTGTATATAAATTATGATAACCTTATTAAAAACAGTGAAGCAAGTCTGTACCTCAGTGCTATTCTGAAACATAATTTGAGGGATTTAAGACACATCTAATAGGTGTATGAAACCAATGGAAAAGGCTTGGCAGATTTAGGCTTTTTCTTTTCATGCTCGGGTTCCGAAATAAGACGTATATACCAACAAATCTTTGTGGATCTCTACCTAAAGCTTTTAAAACAATTACATGCTTTTGAGAGTCTTTCCTCTACAGCAGAAGCGATTAAAACACATTTAGCCAATTTGCTACAAAGCAGAGAAGATGTTCTTAATGCTGGGCAGATTCTGCTCTCCATCGAGACACAACATAATGTTAACTCACTATAGCAGCTCCTGTAAATCACCTCCACGCGAGGGAGGGCTCCTTTTCTGTCTTTGAACTGTGTGCCGAAATTTGACCGTAGAAACAGAAGATTCCTCCCTCTTCCAAGAAAAGAGGGAAGTTTTTCAAGAGAAATTCCATCAGGAAATGATTAGCAGACTAAGATAAACCTGAAGAATAACATAAACTGAAGCTTCTTATGGAAAAGGATGTATTTTAATTAGGATACTTGCGGAAAAGACACACTAAAACACAGGGATATTTGCTAAATGATGAGTTTAACTAAAAGATTGCTCCAAGTCAAATATGCAGACAATTCTTGTTTTTAATTACCAGTGATTGCAATTCATTCTTTTAATTTTTATAGAGGTGCATTTAGTTCTGATAAAAAGGAGAGGTTGCCTCTGGTTAACATCTTGTCTTCTTTTTTTTTTATATTTATTACTTCATATGCTGATGGGAAAGCCTACAATCTTAGGATTTCCAGAAGACTCAGACAACAGGAATAAGCCTCTAAAAAATTCAGAAATTCAGTCCAAGAAAAACCTTCCACCAATTAAAGCGTAACCAGTTCTCTAGCAAACCAAATTGTTAACTGTACAGCTCCACAGTTTAGTTTATAGACTCAATTTGACTTTAGAAAAAGCAAAAAGAAATGCACTAACGCAAGTTACATATACACTGGAACCACCAGTTCTTTTACTATCAGTGAAATATATAGTATAAAATGGCAGGATAAACTGTATTGTCATATATACTCTGCTAAACTCTGAAAAAGCTAAAAGATGTGCACATGCCAGAAAGCAATGTCGGAGAAGTAATACACATTTAGAAGAAAAACTCTCTCTTTGTAGCATCTGCATAATTTTTTCCTTTGCTTCTATTTGAAACAACTTGGATGGGGAATCAGCCAATGCTGTGTCCACACAAGGAACAGCTGGCTACATGCACGGGCACAGCAGACTGCAGAATAATGCAGGTCGCTTTAGGATTTGGAATTAGGCTGGCTTCCTAAGGACCCCGGGATTAGCCACATCTGTCTGGCTTAAGTTATGATGCTGAAAACCGCAGCTTTCATATGCAAGGTGACAGCCTCAGGTAGCTGTTGCTTCCTTTCATTGCAACTAAAGGCAATGCACTTACATACCTCCTTGCTAAATTATGTGCTAAAGTGGGGGTCTCTTGGTCATGCTTTACATAATTATCGCTACGGCTGCATAAAAAGGGATGGAGAAGTCGTGCTACATACCTCAGAAGGCAGTTGAGCCTTAATGCATTCCCATTTGCGAAAGAGCTAGAAAGGTGCTAGGAAAGCTGAACTAAAATTTTCAAGTGCTTCAAATTGGTCATCTGAAGCCGATAATTCTATGCCTAAATAAGTAGCTCGATTTTCAGAGGTGTTGAAGTCAACAGCTGTGGGTCTTCATCACTCTGAAAATCTGATAATTTATTCAGAGCTCTAAATACATTTTAGGTAGCTATCCTGAGGCATCCATCTTGGAAAATTTTGTTTCCAAAGTCTGATTATGAAAAACACTTTTTTTTTTTTTTAATCTTCTTTTTCTAAGGCATTCAACTTGTCTGTAGTTACTTGGTTTTAGGTTACATTTGTCTGTACTGACTTTTCTGCAGCAGATTTTGTAATCTTTCCACTTGAAATGAGGTCTTCAGTGCATTTTATGTTGAGTTTGGCCTATTTCTTATAAATTATGCTGAGACTCATTGAATAAAGATTTTTGCAGACTCATGCAAGTTTGAATAATTGTAGGAAGCCTGCTCGCAGGGAAGGGAGCATATTTTGTTCTTTGAATATTTCACATCTTGATCTTAATATTTGAAATGCGAAAAAACATACTCAGATGAAAGAAGATATTTCTGCAAAACTCTCTGCTATGTATCATTAGAAAAAAAAGTAAAAAAAATTAAGATCCCTGTTGGTGTGAAAAGGCGTCTCTGTGATGTTTAACTAAAACAGAGGAGCCTGAAAAAACATGTAAATGTTTGATAGCTACAGATAAGGTGAACTCCTACACCTGCACTCTGCTTTGTTCAGGTGGAGAATGCAGTAAATTGTCCATTGAGAATTTATACTCATCCGTGGGCACAAATGATTTAATCTTTGCATGTGTTCCCACTATGAAAAATCTTACACAGTTCTATTTTATATGGAATAATATCAAGAAGATTCGCCATTTAGTTCAGTGATAAAAGACATCCATGTCTTTTTCTTAATAACTATTGAATTTTAGTACTTTTTGCAGATGAAAATAGAATGAATATACCTTGTTTGCTGTCAGTGGCTACCAACACTACAGAGACTACCAGATATTGAATACCTGTCATACTCGCATGCAGCAAATTCCATTGAAGATTACCTGAGAGATAAATGTGGTTAAAATCATTCAACAGAAGTAATTCAGAGGTATTTTAGGTTCCTTATGTTATATTTATTCCTTTCCCTGCATGCCAGAGGAGGCAAACATTTCAGGAACTAGCTATAGAACGCACATCCATAAAACTACTAAGGAATATAAACAGCCACACATTAAGTCTGGATCAGTTAATGATAGTGCACAGGAGTACTCGTAAAGATACTCCTGCTAGAGGAAACTACTGCTTCTCCATGAAAAAAATGATCATCTAATGTTTGTAAATAGAATGAAGATTTATTTCACATGGTAGAAAGAAGCATTCAAAAACAGTGCTTTGAAAATACATTTCCTTTTCAAATGGCATTTTCTTTTCCAATGTCTTTTAAACACTAATAACTATGAAGTCCTCACTTTTTAAAGCAAATGGCTATTGCTGAAAAACGATCATAAATGGTTAATATGGAATTTTTCCTTTTAATATCAGCAGTTCAATCAAACAGTTTGATAGTACAGTCTATGGAAATTATATGACAAGGATTAATAAATTCGTGTTTCTCATCTAGATGAAGTCATTTAATATCCCCGCGCCAGAACCTCTGCTGCAGCTGCGAGCTGCTTGAAGCAACAGATTGAGGTAAGAGTCGGGAAGGAGGCCGCGGCGCTCTGATCTGCTCAGCCTTGACTCAAGCTCTGGCACAGGTTAGCAAAGCCTTGCGCTGCTCTAACCTACACCAGCTGGGCCCAGCTTCAAAGGGACCTGCAAGCAGGAATAACTGGCACGCAGCAAGGCGCTCTCTGCTCCTCACAAATGCCATACGTGCAGCTGGCACAGGCTGTCCATGCTGCTTCCAGGCGAGCAGGGGACTGCCCGGCCTCAGGGGCACGGCCGGCTCGCACGGAGCCAGGCCTCTCACACAGCACCAGTGCAAAAGGATGAGAGCAAGGGGGAAAGTCCTGCCCTCCAAACCCTCTTTTCATTTTCTGCTACATCTCTGAAGCCTCATCTTTAGAAATTTCTCTCTTTGTTACCTTTTTGGCATCTTCCTCAGCGCTGTCAAGCCTACAAGGCTCACTACCCTGTTAATATATTGTCTCAGAGTCTATAGC